GATATTCAGTATTTGCTATTTCCCACTCCTTGTTGTTATATTATACCAAAATCAAAGAAGACAAATAAGCAATTATTTGGTAATCGGCAAATACCGAATGTGTGGAACATCTTTTACATATTATATATGGTTGTAAATAATTTATTTATATTTTTAATAAGATCTTCACAGCATTCTTACCAATAAAGATTTGATATAAAATGTTTGTTTTTTTATATATTATATCAAATAAAATTTTTATTCTATGCTTTAATCTGTAAAATTTTAGTAACTGTTAATAGCTAAAATAAACTTTTGTTTGGGATTTAAATTAATTTATAATAATGTTATAGTACAGAAATAAATCATTTCCAGTTTATTTAAAAAAAAAATCCTATATCAACGTGTTAATTATTAAATAAACAACTCAGCAGCACTCTTACAGAACTCAGAATGTTGTGACTTATAGAAGAGAGCTGTTGAGTTGTTTATTAAGAGTTCCACAATATATCAAATAAGTTAAGGAATGATCAAAAAGACACTTTAGATAAATTTGTTAATACTTCAGTACCGAAGAATTTCTAAGATTTAAGTTAGATAAATTATTAATAATTAGAATAATAGATAAATATCAAAAAAATTATCATCTTCACTTTGAGATAAAAATTTAAAATAATACTTTTAAAACAGAAAATTTTAATATAAATTTAAACACTGCTAGCATTTTACAAGTAACCCTTAATATATGGGGTTAATCCTTCTGTAAATATATCACGTATGTCAAAACCTCACATATTGAAGTTAACAATCAATGAAAAATAAAGTACTAAATAATTTGTGAATTAGGTCATTGAGAATTCGTCTGAAATTGTAATTTTTACATTTTTATTTGTTTGAGTAGAGTAAATGGGAAGTGAAGAAATCAAATTTTAAAAAAGTTTATCAAAGAATTATTAATTAAAGATTTTAGACAAAGTATTGCATAGTTGCATACAAAATTATGGAAAGTAACATTAAAGATTGATTATATAGAGTTTACACTGACCCAAAAAAAAACTCATAAAATCCAGCATGCTAATCAACAAGTGGCCACATATTTGAATGTATTGTACATGTTCCATTTCATATGGTTCCAAGATCGAACAATATAGCTTGAGGATGCCCACTTTAGATGGAAGAAAATGTTTGCTGGATTTTGCAAGTACAGTAGAGCGTCGTTTATCCAAAAGTCAATTATCCGAAAGAATTCCAGTTGGCAAATTTAAATTTTCGCCAGTGCTGTGGCGCTGCAAATCTTTGGCTATGTCTTGGGCTAAATCAAATATTTTACGTTTTTGATACTAAATTAACTTCTGAAGTATAATTTCTTATTGTTTTTATATTTTTCAATATATTTATTTTGTTTGTACAAAATAAAAAAATAATTTTTAATGATACAATAGTCTTTGTTAGGCTTAACATCGACGAAAATACAACGCAAAGCGACATGCAATAGAGAAAAATTTCAACATGGGATAGGTTAATATATTTTTCCGTGCACAATCGGTTATCCGAAATATCGATTTACCGAACAACCCCAGTCCCCAATTGATTTGGATAAATGACGCTCTACTGTATTTGGTTTTTGAGTGCAGTATTTGTATTTATAACCAGTACTTATTGTTTGTCATTTGTATCCCTAAAAAAGAAAACCATAAACTAAAAATTTTTAAAATTAAATGCTGCCTTATTTTTGCATAGAGTTTTCTGTAAAGGCAAAAGAATTAAAATATAATTGTTTTGCAGAAATTATACTAAATGCGAAAATAGAAATCAAACTATACAAATGAGAACTATGGTTTACTTTTCCTACTAATTAATGGTGAATAGGAATGGGAGAAAGGATTGTTTCAGCATTGCTAGCTCTGAGCTCTGTAATCAGATAACAGTAACATTAACCCACAAGGTATCATGCAAAAAAAAAATTTGTAGGTCATCTGCGGTCGTTTCAACAAGCCTTTTAAAAATGACATAAAAAATATAAAAATCATTGTTTATGATTATTTTATATTTTTATAACAAGCAGAATATCTGAAATTTTGTTTTATAATGAAAATTATTTCAAATAAAACAAATTAAACATCAACATTAAATTTTATTTAACATAACGTAAGAAATATTGACAATTTTTAAAATTTAATGTTTAAAAAGTACAAAAAAATGTCACTGAAAATGTATTCTATGAAAATATCACAGGAAGAACTCTAATGAATTAAAAATGTGTGAAATGTAATAAAATACTATTTCACAACACTTGTGTGATTATAAGATATTCATAATTAAACTTAGTCATTATTGGACTCTGGAACACTTTCAGATGCACACTGGACACAAGTTGTAGTGGTATGTTGTTTTCAAATGAAGCGATAACAGATGTGATACTTTGTCTTCGATTTTTGGTTTTGTCTCCAATTACAATAGCTACATCGTCTTGGTCCTTCGCTAGCCACTTGAGGCTGCCTCATCTCTTCTTCCAGTCTCAACATTTGTCAAATGTTCCTTTTTAATTATCAAGGAAGATCTGGCTGATGATTGCGTTCTGTCAAATAATTACAGCATAGTTTCTTTATGAGTTCTTTGAGATAGTTCTGCCGAAGTAAGTTGAACTCTTAATGTTTGTAAACAATAAATCTGTTTAACCCAGTAACATTTAAAAGGGTAAAAAACAATGTAAGTGGCCAGTGGTTACTGGTTCTTGTTACAGAGTATCTTGCCATATACTCATCAACTACATCAGCTCCCCCTTTTGTAAAGTTATAAAATGTAAGAATGAATGGCTTTTTGGCATTTCCTGATTCTGGATCAATTTTATCAGTGCCATCCATTGTAGAGAGAAGTGGAACAGCTTTATTTTTTGGAGGCCTGTAGGCTACTAAGTCACTCTATCTCTTAAAAGCAAATATACTTCAGTTTACTGAGGGAAGTCTTGTGTTTGTAAAGCCAAGAGGGATCTCTCTTATTTTTCTGTAAGGTTCTAACTAATGTCAACTTCTGATCCTTCAGAAGACATTCAGCTAACAGTATATCACTATTATCAGTGGTCATATTCCTTCCAGTACCACTTATCAGCTGAACACTATAGTATAGCAAGTCTTGATACTATAGTTAGTCCTGAATTCCCTACTTTAAAAGGGCCCTCTGGCTGCTGCCCCAAATACATTTTCATGTTCATGGTATAAAAAGTCTTTGCACAAGTCATGGCCATACTACGCTGGTTTATTTTTTATGTATTGCCTAAAGTCGCAAATTACCTCTGAATGTTTAGAGTATCTTGTCAATTGTGAAGAATTCATTTACTACAAAGTTAGTTTTACACTTTTCCACAATATTAGACTATACATCACATATTGGGGCAAGCTTGTCAAAGTTTTGTCCCTATAGCCTTGTTTCAGCATTATCGAATCTTACAGATCTAAACAGAAACTTAAACATTCATATATTTGTACAGTTACGAAAGAATTCCACTCCAGTTCCATCATATGTCCACAAATCATACAAGTTCAGGTGTGAAGCTCTAAAAATTCCCACTATAACAGAGAAGACCAATAAAAGCCTCCATTTCACTCCTTGATGTATCACATACATCTCATTCCCATGTATAGTTTGAACATATTTTTTGCATACTTCACAATGTCATCCAAAATTTCATTTGTAAAATATAACCTCCAAGCATATTTATCCACATTATCTTCTATCTCATCAAGGAAAATAACTCAAGTGCTCTATAGCAGGTTTATCAACAAACAAATGCCTTTGAATTGCACCTGGATGATGATGTCTTTCTTCTTCTCTACTCGTCTTCTCTTCCACAATTTCTAATAGTCTCAAAATTCTTTCTTTTTCTTTTCTGTCCATTTAGCTCAAGATGACAATCACTAAAAACTAAGTGTATATAAATAGTACTAGTATAATACAATAACAAAATGTTAAGATTACTATAAAACAAGCATATGCAATAGGTTGCACACAGTTGAAAACACCAGGTGTCATTTACTCAGTAACTAAAAAAATGGCAGTTATAGAAATAGTGCAAAAAGTCGGTGAATGAGTCAATATAAAGGTGCTGAAAAGGTGGGAGTATACACTATTCAGGTTTACAAAAATGACAACAAAAAACAAACACAATAAAAAAAAGAAACTGGCCAAGTTCCATGACAGGTTAAATTTCCCTCAGAACAGACCTCCAGCAACCAAAATCTGCACTGATTTAAAATGGCATATATCAAGGGTTACTTATGTATTAAACTGGCTATTGCCTTGCCATAATTATATCTGCATTTGCAGTTGTTCATCCACTCAGAAAAATTCATGGATAATTAAATAATAAATTTTAAAAATTTAATATTTTTCTACAAAATGAGCTTAAAAAAAATTTGATAACATTTGAGTTAATATTAAAATATTTTCATATCGTCTTAAAAAGATTTTTGTGGAAGTTCTATGTTGAATTCAAAAGCATTGTGAACTTTTTTACTAGTTCATCAAGCAAGTATTTCTCTGAATTTTAAAATATTTTTCTGAAAATTCAAATATTTATTACACAAATCAAAAGGTTTTATCGTCTGTTAAAATCTTGTTTACTAAATTTCCTTTCCATATAATGTTTTTTTTCCCTTTTGTATTAAATTAAACATGTCATATGGATAAGGATATATTTTAAACACACAGTTAATTAATGATAAAAATTTAGTTTTGTATTAAGTTAATTTTTTTACAGTTATGTAGTAGGTTAACCAAAACCGAGGCTAATGGAATTTTATTGAATTTCTTCTTCTTGCCTACTATTTTTTAATTGTAATACAAAATAATCATTGATTAACCTATGAATTTATACTAATTATAAAACTAAATTTCCGGAATTAAAATTCATTATCGTGTATTGTAATTTTTGTTAGTATTGATTATTAACAGCTAAGAAAATTCTTTAAATATATAATCATGACAAATTATTTTGAATTGTTTTTTTCAATTTTTCATTGCAGAAAGAAAACAGATGACAACCAATGGTGGGAACTATTTGACCAAAACACTTCTAGATTTTACTATTACAATGCCACTAGTCAAAAGACAGTATGGCATAGGCCTCAGAACTGTGATATAATTCCACTGGCTAAACTTCAGGTAATGAAATAAAATTTACAAATTAAAATATTGTTTTAAATAAATGAATGATATTTTACAGGCAAATTTTATGATCTATTTTAATATTTATTTACTGAATATTTTTTTATGATTTATTAATACTGGTTAATCTGTGTTTAAAAATAATTTTGATAGTGGTGCAAGTTATGCAATGATGTGGGTTATCTGCTGTTTTTAACATGACTTTATGAATTTATAATACATGTTTTTCTTTCTCTAAAGTTACTAGGAACATTTTTAGAAAATATGAAAAATCCTTTACATCCTTTACCATACACATTCATTTGCCATTGTGATTTTTTCATGAAAGCACAAAAGACATGTATAGGTATGCTTCACATTGAGTCCTCCTATTTTCCATACATCAGTTTCTGTACAAATTTAGATTGTACTCGTACAACAGTCCACATTTTAATTGATAAATTTTTAAGTAGAAATGTCTAATAGTATCTTAAAAGTTAATAAGTTTTCAATAATTTCACCACTCTACATAATAATTCTCTCTGTCTCTCTCTGGATTATTTAGAAGGTTCTGTTTACAGTAGAAGCTTGAGGGATCAGTTTTAAAACTCATGTCAGTGGATGTGTTATTTTCATTTTAGTAACTTTTTTACCAGTGTAGGTAATATGCCACCACAGATTATCAATGCAAAATTAAAACATTTATAACGCTTGTAATATGTTCATTTTAATATTTAAATTATATGAAACTAATTATCTGATTAAACTATAACTTTTTTCTATTTATATATTATTAAATGTATTAATGGTGATAATGAAAATCTCATCACATGAATCTTAAATTTTGATATGAATGTTTTTTAATAGAAAGTTTTTTTAATTTACAGACTCTTAAACAAAACACAGAAGTACAAGATGATGATGGTTGTAAATCTGTTGTAAAGAAAGAATCTGTTGCAACTCAGACTTCATCTAAAGGACTGGTAATTTTTATTAAATAAATATTTAGCTATTTTATAGCAAATTAAGGATTTGTTGAAAAAATTAATTTCCTCCTTTTAAATGAAAAAGTTAGTAAAATGTGTTTTCATATTTAAAACAAATTCTCTTCAAAATTTTCGATTATAAGCTTAAAATTTTAGAAGATAGAATTTATAATATATATTAAAAAAATATATATTAGTAATCATGCTTCATTATTTGTTCATATTGGATAGCAGACATTTCCTATATTTATAGAAGTTGGTTTTATCAGTTTGTTTTTTCCTCTAAATCAATATTGCACTTATTTTTATTTGTATCAGTATTTTGATGATGCAAGCAAAAAGATATCAATTTTGAACTAAAATTAAAAAAAAAAATGCAGAGAAATATTTTTCATAAAAGATTTTTACTATGATACAAATATACTAAATGTTTTATTATTTGTTATTGAATAAAGATTTTTTGCTTATAATTTAGAAACGTATAAACAACAGCAACTATTCATTTATATAATGTTGAAAAAGAATATAAAGTGTACATTCTTTAGAAAAATATGGATTGTATGTAGGGAATTCGATCCCGGTCCTTATTTCTAATCCCGGGATTTCGGGATTATACTTAGTCAATCCCGGGATTATTTTGGTATTGAGGGTTAATAAAAAATAAGAAAATCTTACAGAAATCAAATCAAAATTTAGACAAAAATCAACATATTTTACAGTATACACCTAGCTAATTTAATCACTCTAACTAATCAGACTCAGAGTCAGACTAACCAGACTTAAAATCACTCAGTCTTCATGTTAAATTTATTCTTTTTTAAGCATCACTGAGATCTCTTTAAACTCACATAAATTGAAAAAACCTTTATGTAACAAACTATGCAAATAAACGTTGAAAATTAACAAAAATCTCTCTTAACATCGACTAAATAGACTAC